CCCACTGGGGCACAGGACAGCGCGTGGGCCATCACTTCCAAGCGCCGCAGCGTGACAGCAGCAGGGATGTTGGGGTAAGAGTGGGAAGTGAAAAAAAAAAAAAAAAAAACCAAAAAACACACAACCACAAACCAAAACCACCCTGTAACAGCAAATTCTGTCAAGCAGTAAGCAGTACAATCTCCCCCCAAGGTGGGGGGCAGAGCCACAGGGCCCCAGGGATGCTGCACCCAGGCCGGTGCTTACACAAAGCCAAATCCACTCTGCAGCCCCAGCTGGCCACTAATCCGCCTGCGCCGCTGGGATTAAACCTTGAACTCGGTGGCAGGGAGCACTATTTTCGGCTCCGGGGTGCCGCCACCGCCGGCTTGAACCTCAGCGGAGTCTGTCCTGGCTGTGGCAGATCGGGGACCATCGCGAGGGGGTGCTGCCGCATCCCCTCACCCTCCGGCACCTTGAAAGGTGATCTCAGCGCCCGGCTCCTCTCGGCCGGCCGTGCGCCATTTGGCTTGGTAACCGGAGCCCTCCCAGCTGCCGGGCTGGGATTACTCCATTTCCGAGCTGTGTCCCTCTGCCCTTCCTGAGTGAAACCCAAGCTCTGCACTGGCACGGCACTTCCCGAGGGGTCGTGGCCAGCCCCCCACATAGCTCGAAGGTCGCCTGGAGCCGAGCCCCGCTTTGCCAGGGAGGGATGCTCACCTGCTGCAGGCACATCCCAAGGTTTTCCACGACCACATCCAGCCCCGTGCCCATAGGGGACACCCTGCCGCCGGTAACAACGGCAGTTGTCACCGGAGCAAAGGGCATCCAGGAGGCCATGAGCAAAGCCAGAATCGACTGTGAACTTTGCCATGCCACCTACCGATAGTGCCAGCAAACCCGGGGCGAGGGACCAGCAAAGCTGCCAGGGATGTGGGGGTGATAGGGGATGAAGCCGTGGCTTGGAGAGGATGCGGGAAGCAGGGTCTCTCCCTACCACAGCCCCAAAATCACAAGGATGCTGTGTGATGCACGGGGGAGCTAAGGACCCACCCTCAGGCTGGGGGTGCTCGGGGGCAGGATGGGGATGCCCACAGCTCCCCAGCCTGGCAGAGCACAGCTCAGGTGGCAGAGAGCTGCAGCGGGTGGGGGAGAGGAGAGCAAGAGCCCTGACTCAGCACCATCACCCGCTGCCGCAGGGACAGATGCAGCCGGCAGCCTCTGCCGCCCTCCCCTTTCCCCGAGGGGGAGGCGAAGGGTCTGCCTGGCACCCCTGGGGCTGGAAGGAGCAGGTCCCCGTTCGCAGGGAGCTGCTTCGTTGGGAGAAAGAGCCACAGGATCTTTGCTGGAGGTGGGGCATGCAGGACCACGGCAATGAGACACAGGAAGATATACAGGCTCACTCACACGGGAGGAGGCAATGGGGGATATCACCCCTGGGAATGTCCCCTTTGGTGCTCTTTACTTGGGATCCAGTTCCCAAGTTCCTCCGCACTGGCTTCCACTGGCTCCCAGGCAGCAATGTCTGGCCCACGGTCAGCAACCGCAGCGAGGGGACAGGCTTCCCCCTTCCCTCCCCACACTCTGAGGGCACCCATCTGTCCCGTGAGGGCCAAAGTCCCCATAAACCCCTGGGAGACGCCAGCGCTCGCTTGGGCTGGGAGGAAGCCTTACCTGTGCTCTGCAGGGTATTGGTTTTCAGACATCATCTTTGGCATGTGCATGGGTGGGTGAGGCGGCCGCGGCACGGCGAAGGTCTGCTGCCTCTGCTCCTGCAGCGGGTGTGGGGCTGGGGCTGCCCCATGGGTGGCTGCCTGCACGGCCGGGGCCGGCGGTGGCAGGGCTGATCCCTGGGGAGCAGGGGACACCGGCGTGGCGGGCGGCGTTAATGGCTTGAACCCGGTGGGGGGCTTCCTGTCGTAGGCACTGCGGAGAGGAGAGGGGCCGGGGGGGCTGACGGCGACGCTAACGAAGACACCTCCGCGCAGCGGAGGCTGACAAGCGAGACAAGTCCCTGTGCCGCAACCCAAGTCCCCATGCCATGACCCGTGTCCCCATGCCACCACCCGAGTAAGGGGTCTTGCGGGCAGCATCCGCCCTCCCACTACCTACCAGCAGTTGTAGAGGCACTTGTCCCCATAGCCGGCGCAGAGAGCCTGCTCGTGGCTGCAGGATGACAGCTCCGAGGAAGGGCTATGCAGCTCCCGCTTGATCTTTGCCGGAGGTGGGGCGTGCAGGACCACTGCAACGAGACAGGGGAGGATACGGGCTCACCCGCGCGGGAGGAGGTGATGGGGGACATCACCCCAGGAACATCCCCTTGGGTGCTCTTTGCTTGGGAACCAGGTCCCAAAATACCACCCCCCACCCCCCCTCCCAGGAGCATCACGCACCAAACCACAGCAGGATGATGCCCCGGCAGACCCTGATGTGCCCGTGGACAGAGCTAGGGTGGCAGGGGTGACTTCTGCAGGGGAGGGCAGAGCTCCCAGAGCTGGGACAGTCCCTCCAACCCAGGACATTGCCCACGGAGCGGGAGTCATTCCCCGCTGGGATCAGAGAGGGGAACAGCACAGGGTGAGGGGGGCAGAGCAAGAGCTGTGTGAGGGGAACCTGCAGCTCAACAACAGCCACGCATGATGAGACGTGCTCAAACCAGGCCAAAAGCCCCTCGGCGAAGGGAGACGAGCCCAGGCACCACAGGCAGCGGCTGCCTCCCTGAGCCACAGGGCGAGGAACAAGGGGGCTCAACAGCCTTACAGCTCCGAGAGCTTGTAAGCAGGACACGGTGACTCACTGGCCCTGGCAGGGGTATACCCAGCTCCCAATTAGGTGGCCAGAGTCAGCCAGCAGCTAAATGGGACCCACCTCCCCCCACCTCCGAGGGGAGCCAGTCCCAGAGTCCTGCAGTCGTACCAGTCCAAGCGGCAAAGGTCCCATTCAACCCAAATCCTTCCCAGCTCCCCCCCCCGAGCACACTCGCTATATATAATTTTAAACCAAGTAATGTGTGCTTAACCTAATTAATTTCTAAAAGCAGGCGCTCTAGGAAAGGGAAAGCGCCTCAGAGATCTTTACCTAAATAGAGCCCGCAGAGGAGAGCCAAGACTAATCGGAAGTGGAGTATTAGCTTCATGCAAAGCCTGAACACAGCCCAGCTACAGCGGAGAGGAGCAAATAGCTCCAGGACAACTGTTCACAGCTTGCCAGGTAATTAGCTGCTCCCCTAATTTGTCAAAACCTTTAAAGAGCTGCTGACTCCCCCCTCCTTGTACCCCCTCCCCGCAACGGCCCAGCACAGCTGGTATCAAGGGCACAAAACCCCACTGAGGAGGATTTGAAACACGAAGCCCAGCGCTGAGCCAGCACAGCCTCCTGCACGCCTTCCACCCGCTCCCCAGCCGGATTTAGCCCCCTCCTCTTTCTCCCCCCCTCCCCTCCCAGCGAGGTTTTGCCGCTCTCAGCATTTCTGGTCTTAACGGGGGGCCGGCGTGGTGGCGGCGGCAAAGGCCGGGCACCCCGCGAGCCACGGGAAAGCGAAGAGGAACGGGCTTTGGAAGGGCTCCAGCTGCCTATCGCGGGCATGTTTCTCCCTAACAGGCTCCGTGTTGTTGGAGCGGGTTGTTTTTCCACCAGCCGTACAATGGGGTCTGGTTATTCATTGAAAAAAAAAAAAAAAAAAGAAAAAAAAAGAAAAGAAAAATTTCCCCAGAGCTTAGTGCTGCCATTCAAGAAAAAGGGAAACGAGCCTTAAGATCCTAACAGGGACCAGCTGGTCAAGCCTGGACTTTGTGCAACGTTTGAATTCCTTACACAAACACCACAGGGCCAGCCAGCGCTGCTCGGCAAGCGCCGCCAAGCTCATGGCTGGCTGGGGCGGCAAGGCCGGAGCGCCTGGTGGTGGGAGCCGAGGGGGGTACTGAGGTTGGCGGTGGGCTCTTGGGGGGTTTTGGGTCCCCGGCAGGGAAGGGGGAAGGCTGCAGTAGGGTTCCCGGGGAAGGGGATGCCTTGCCCCAGCACCCAACGTCGCAAAAGCATGTGGGTGCGTGAGCGCTTCGAACCTTTCCGGTCCTGTGCTTGGCACTGTAATTAAAAGCTAAAAAAAATTATAAAAATAGGCAGAGGGAGCAGCTTAACTATAGCCGGGACCGGAGAATATGCCTCGGCACACCCACGCCAGGACTGAGCCACGGGAGCAGCAGGAGCACCCTTGGGTGCCTGGCAGCCCCTCTCTGGGGGGCTTTAGCCCCTGGAAATGGATGGACCCCGCCTCAGGGAGCCTGGGCAAGGGGACCGGCCATACGTGCCACTACTGTGCCCGGCCGGCAAGGCAGCACCACCGGGAGGGGGGCTCAGGTGTACCCCCCCCCCACTGTACCACCAGCCAAGCCAGAGATGCCCCAAACATCAACCTTCAAACAAGAGGTCTCCCATGGGAAAGATGACACCCCAAAACCATTTGGGACCTTGAATCGCCGGTGAATCCCTTAAGTGGGTGACAGGGCAGGTTGTTCCCAACCACCAGCACGACGGGACCTCTAAGAGGCCAAGCCTGGAGGATGCTGGCATTGCTGGTGGCACCCGCTGCCCACGCCACATGAAAGGTGACCAAACCACCAGTTCCAGCCCGGCCACCGGCTGGGGACCTTGGCACCCGCTCAAGTCACCGTCACCTGGGAGCTGAGCTCCCCGCCTGCCCTTCCATCCCCCGGCGCTACAGGACGCACCCAAGGTCATGCCAGGAGAGGAGCCAGAAATAGAAGCCGGGCTCCTGCTTCCCTTTGTTTAAACAAGCCTTCCTCAGAAACAAACCTCCTGCTCTCATTTCGGTGTGTAAGAAACCCCACTCTGCGCCCTGCCTGTGGCTTTAGCCATGTGCCACCTGTGCAAGGACCCACAAGTCCCCCCCGGGAGCAAAACCCCTGCGAAAGACAAAAGCTTCTTGTGGTGCTTGATCTCCCCAGCACAACCCTATTGCTCCCCAGTTATTTAAACCACCAACCGAGATATAACATCATACGTATACCCTTCTCCCCAGGACTGTGCCGCTGGCACCTACGCCAGGCCAGGGACGGGGCACAAGGGCCAGTGCGGTGAGCTCTGCAGGAGTCACCCGTGGCCTCCTCGCCTTCCCGGGAGGATCTGTCACTTCTCCAGGTAGCTTAAAAGCACCGAATGCGGCCTCTTGCTGCTCGGTGCAGGGCACCGAGAACAACACACCCCTTATTCAGAGGAGCCCCGTTTTCCCCATCCCCACGGTGGGGTTTCCTCCCCGGCACAGCGACCTGCTGCCCTCCGGCACCTTCCTGCCAAACCCCCAACTCTAAGGCTGTGTCCAACAGGGACCTCGGCTACAAAAATCAGAGCAGCGAGCAGGCAGCAGCCGAGCTGCATGCAGCTGCCGTGCGACGAGGGCTTTTTAGCAAGGCGAGAATGATGCCGCAGTTCGGAGCGCCTCCGAGCCAGCACACGTGGCGGCGTTCCCCACGGCAACGGGGTCAGAACTGAGCCCAGTTTGTCCCTTTTCGCTGGCTGCATCGGGGGGAAGCTTGGCCCCAGGAACGCTGAGGCCACGGAGCAGGAGAAGGAGCTGGTTTGCTCGGGAATAAAAAGAGAGCAGCAGCTTCCTCAGAGAAAAGGCACAGAGCTCCGCAACTGCGGGAAGCGAGTGCAAAGCATGGCCCCAAACATCCAGACAGACTAGGGAAGGCTTTTCCTTCCCCCGGGAGCTAACAGGCACTGAACCCCAACGGGACCCCCCAGGCTGGGAAAGGACAAGGTCCCTGCCATGAAACCCAGGTGCAGGGGGGCGGCTGCACCAGATTCGTCGCTCTCTTTCTTCCTACCCCAAAATGAGAGTGAAATGAGAAGATGGGGCCAGAAAGCGAGAGACCCTCTCCTCTTTAAATGCTTTGCAGTGCTGGTACGGAAGAGCCGGGCTCCCTGTCCCCCTCCGCCCCGGGGCTGAGCACCCCCTCGAGCCGGCACAGCCCTCTGCATGACAGCGAGGGAAACCTTTGCTTTCTCTCTCCAGGAAAGTTAAGGAAGGTTATTGTTGTGGGGAGTCACGCAGGGAGAGCTCCTTTCAAGTGACAAAGTCATTTCAACACCGGGTCTGCAGAGGCCGAGCAGGTCAGGAGAATGTTAAAAAGTCTCGACCAAACGCCTTTTTTTTTTTTTTTTTTTAAAAAAAAATAACGTCTTTCTTTCCCTGCATTGCCCAGAAAAGTTTGTCCCTTCTCTCCAAGCTCTTCAGGTTACAAGGAAACGAGAGACTGCCAAAAGGCACTGGAAACAGCTTCATCTCTAAGAGCCACCCTCCCACGCATGCTGCAGTTTCTACCGCTCCGAGCGAGAGCTGCCGGGCTGCGCTAGGATGTCGACAGCCAGTTGTGTTTCTGACTCTGGGCTCGCCTTTTATCTCAGGGGAGACAAGGGGATATAAAAAAAAGAAAACAAAACAGAAAAAAGTGCATCTGAAACTGGGGCTGTCTGGAACAGTTTAATGGCAAGCTTCCCACTCAGAAGTAATCAAAGAGCAATAATTAACATGCGTTTACTGTAGGAGAAGATACCCTTGCTGCATGCTGTGACAAAGCTGGAATGAAAAAATCTGTTCGACTGCAGGCTAAATTTGATTTCCTTTAAGTTCTCTAGCTGCCTGGCTCAGCAGCAAAACCCAGCCACCAACACCAAGTTACTACTTCGGTTTGCCAGATAATGACTCCAAACATCCCGATCCCCCCTCCTCCTCCTCCTCTCCTCTCCTCCCCTTCCCCTCCAACTGAGCCTTCAACACCCGGAGAGGCCAGCGCCTGAGTGCCGCGCAACCACCGCATGCCATTACCCAGCCCCTGCCCTCGCCGCTAACTCGTTCCGGCAATGAACCCCGGCTCAGAACCAACTCTCGCTCTTATGCAATTCAAGAGGGACTGCATTTTCACTGGCCTCCTTTTAAACACGCTTGCTTGCCAGTGATTAATGCTGCTTAAAGCGGCTCAAGTTTCACCGCTCAGGTCCGCTCTTGCCAACAGCATTGGACCAGGACTGTAAAAAAGCTCCAGAAAGTGCCGAGATTGTGGCTAACCGAGGAGCCCAGCACGGGCTCTCGCATCCACTTGAAAAGGAAAAGGAGCATTTATAACCAAATCAACATTACTACGAACAAGCGGCAAGTCTCGGAGGAGCCCAGAGATCAGTTAGAGCTATTTCCATGCCTTTGGCTCTCATTTTCCCCCGTTCAGGCAGGACACTGCAAGTATCATCCTGATGAACCCAAACCACACGTGCTTTCTCCCCCAAAGTCTGCGATTTCACGGTTTCAGCCCCAGCAACAACCACTTTCCCAAGGCAGTGGCTCAAAACCCAGGGCCAGGTTCCGCACAGGCACCCAAATGCTTTCCCCTCCTCCCACCTCCCCGGAGAACAAAACCCAGAACAATCACTTACAGTTGTCAGACTGGAAATCTGGGACAAATTGTTCGTCATCGGGGACCTGAGCTAAAAAAAAAAAAATAAAGAAAGAAAGCGGTTTTATGGCGTTTTCGGTTCTCAAAACAACACGCTCAACAGTGAGATTTTTTACACAGCAAAAGGCGGAGGTGAAGACTTGCCTTCAGCTAGCCAGGCCTCTTGGAGCTGGCTGAGATCCTGGAAGAGCTCTGGAACAGAGTGAAAGACTTATGCACTCCACAGAAGAATAAATAAAACTGCCATTTTTGGCAGGATTATTTCTAAAGCGACGAAGGCGGGGGGGGGGTCTCGCAGGGGCCGCAGAGAGGGCACGGCCACCCCCAGCCAGCCCTGCCTACCTTCCGAGTCGTGGGCCAGGTCGGTCTCCAAAAATTTCCTTTTCCGATCGGACCCCAGCCGACCTCGGCCCTCTTCTATGCAGGACTTCTGCAAGGAGAAGGATGAGAGAGGGTTGGGAGGGTGGCAGCCCCCAAGGACAGGGTGTCCCCAAGGCTGGGGTGACCCCCAAGGAGGGGGGTGACCCTCAAGGGGGGAGTGACCCTCAAGGACAGGGGAGAGGGAGCACAGAGCAAACTTACCCCAGGGCCCATGAAGGGAACCTGCTGGTCGTAGAAGCCGTCCATGGTGCGGGGGAGGCGGGCAGTGCCCCGGGCCCGCTCAGCATCGACGCCGGCCCGGGGAAAGGGGGGGGTGTCCCCGCCTGGGCTCCGGCAGGTGCGCGGCTGCGGGGGGGGTGTAGGGGTGTGA